GCCGCCCCGCCGTCAGCTGCTCCCATTTTCTGCTGTCGCTTTTGGCGCTCGGCCATCCAGAAACAAACCACTTCGATGACTCCTAATAGTTATCGCCAGATGTACTAATACACAACAAATCACGGTCCGGGAGAGGGGGAGAGCAAATGAGTTCCTATTTCGTGAATCCCACTTTCCCGGGGAGTCTGCCCGGCGGCCAGGACTCCTTCCTCGGGCAGATCCCCCTGTACCCGGCGGGCTATGATGCTCTCAGGCATTTTCCGGCTTCGTACGGGGCAAGCAGCCTGCAGGACAAGACGTACACCTCACCTTGTTTCTACCAACAGTCCAACACCGTCATTGCTTGCAATCGGGCTTCCTACGAGTACGGAGCCTCGTGTTTTTATTCGGACAAGGAAATTAGTAGCTCCTCTCCCTCCGGCAGTGGCAAACAGAGGGGGCCTGGGGACTACCTGCACTTTTCTCCCGATCAACAGTACAAATCCAGCGGCGTCCAAACCAAAATTGTAAATGACGAAGGCACCGACCGGAAGTACACGAGCCCTGTTTACCCCTGGATGCAGCGGATGAACTCCTGCGCTGGTAAGGCATTTCGATGCAATCAAGGACCGGGGGTTGGGGGTGGGGAGTAAAGAAGAAAAAGTTTCAGATTTTTTTTTTTTTTTTTTTTTGGTCTTAGATAAAGTCCAGACTGCTGGAGAGACACGGTTCCTGCAGGGCAATGTGTAACATGAAACCTTCCCAGGTTACTTTAGACCTGGCACGTTGGCACTCTGGGAACCGTGGTCGAGAGCCCAGCTTGTGGGTTCACCTGTGAAAGTTACTGGGGAATCCTTAGGAAGTGGGGGGGGGGGAAGCAAAGTGTTTTTACCGCTCTCCTAAAGCCACCCTAAAGTCCGCTTCTTCATTGTCAGAGAGCGATGCAGCGAATATGCCCTCTGTACTGAGGATCCAATGCATTTGTGGCACATTCCTCCTCGCCCCCCTCCCCCAACTCATTAGCCTGTAAGTACTGGATATTGAGAGCACGTTTCTGAGGCCCTGGGCGCACTTCCATGGCATCGCGGATTTTCTCTGATTTACAAATGAACTTCGCATAATCGAACTATTCTGTCCAGGAGCGGTGCTGAGGGGGGATGGGGGATGTTGTGTTGGGGTGGCATTTATTTTTAATAATCCCTTATCAAGAAGCTTACTTACAGTGTTTGCTAACGACTCCCTTCCTCTCACCTCATCCCGAGTTTATGTTTGCTGGACACAGCAAAATGCTTGGGTCGCATTTCTTTTTTTTTGGAAAGCTAAACTTTTAGCAGGACCATTCTGATGCTGCTTTGCATTCGAGGGCAATAAATTCCGGAGCAGATGGCAAAGCCTTTTCTATGATCTTTAGCTGATATCTATAATTGTACTTAAATTACAGATCCTCTGTAGTTACAGCCGAGGCGATAGAGTGTGTATGTGTAAGCACACCCGCGTATGCGTACACGCACACACGCGCACACACATAGACACACACACGTATGCGTGCAGCTCTCCGGATCGCACACGCGTGTGCGTGTGTGTGTGTACGCAAAGGGCAGACTCTGCTCGGAGATTCACACGAGTGCTACCTACTCCACCTTCCCTGGGTCCACCTTAAAGCCTCTTTGTATCCCACCACCGTAAGCACGCTGCACATCCGCGTTTACAGCTGGTCAGGCAGGAGAAAAGGAAAAGATGGACGGACGGGAAAAAAAAAAAGCTTCCAG